TTTTCTTTCCCTGTCTCATAAGGTCTATTATTAGACCAGAAAAATGTAATTTCAATTTAACCAGGTCGATGTCTATATCATATCTGCAAATTGCAGCAATATTATAAAGACACGTCATCCAATTCAGCCTGTTTCTTCAGTATATTCAGTACAAATTTGTTTCAGTGCATAACCTTTAAAATAAAACAAGCCCAATTGTACAACTTCAATTTGGGTTTTCCTATTTGCGTCTAATCCAATTGGTTTCACCAACTACGCCTAAAAATGTATTTCCACTTTCCAGATATATCTTTTTTCAATGTTACCTTGGGCCTAACCATTAGTTGCTTCTTGTGAGTTTCAAACCCTACATTGAGGACATAAAATAGGAGAAAAACAAAAACTTAGATCAAGTTCGTTACGTTCTTACCATGAAGTTCTCCATTTAAACGGTGACATGTAAATATTTATTTAAAAATTTATGATATATATTCAATAGAATGTATTTATGATTAGGAAAAGAATTCCATGTATCGCCATATAAAGGGAGGAACATGAGAGTAAGAATTAATATAAATAATTTAATATAAATTTTGTTCAAAATATGCTTTCATCAAAGGGGAATATTCGAGCTCATATCTTATGTAAGAGAGAAAAGATGTGAAATGATTCGTAAGGGACTTAACATAATTTACCATATAAGGTCATGATGTCTATTTATTGAATAAGGTAAGTCAAAGTTTATTTAATTAAAAGGATCAGACTTAAAGTTATCTATAAAGTCTTTTAAATTTAATAAATCAAGTCAACATATTTAAGTAAACAACAATAATAATATTGTTGATTTGCATAATGATTTCAATGAGTACTAATCTATTTAGAAGTAAATTTGTTTGTTTATTTAAAAAAAACATAAAATAATTTTTAAATAAACTTTCTAAGTCAAATTAATTTTAGAAATGGCTAGTTAGTCCTTAAAAATGATATATCAAGTTTGTCTTAAATTGAATAAATAAATGAAGCTTATTTAATTAAAGTAAACCCTTACTTAAAATGACTCTTTTCCTCGAGTATATGATACTTGTGATTTTGACAAAGTGCATTATACAAAGATACTAGGTTCATTCAAATATTTATAACCTCAATCATGATTCAAATGTTACAAAGGAGTCTATAGGATAAAAAATGAAGAAATAAACTTTCATTTAGAGTTATATAAAGGTTGAAGCGAAAAAAAATGAGTCTTCATATATTATACTTTTTTACAAACAAAAAAAAAATGCATAAGTTAATTTTAACTTATGGAAAAAATATTAATTTTTTTCTCTTATAAATATTTATTAAGAAATTTAATCAAATTTGTCTAATAAGTCGCTCTCAGTTAATATATATCTATTCCCACAAAGTTATCAAGCGGTTTTGAAACTTTAGAAATTAGAAGACTAGTGGACGGTTTTTTTTATTTTTTATTTCAGTGAAATTATTTATCTTGAAAAGAATGGATTAACAAGTCGTCTCACAAGTTTTTAAAAAAGAGAGAACGATTACAGGTGGATGCAACAAATGCACAAAAAAGGCCAAATATATTAGGTTAAACTTTAAAGAGTTATTAAGTGGTAAAAGAGACGACATATAAGATTTATACTGATTTAATCGATTTTTCTAATATAATCACGTTTCATAAGAAGATGCATTACAAACTCTTGTAAATTTTGAGCCCGACGCACGCTTTTGGAAATTATTCACCCTTTGATGAGAACTCTTTGTTTTTGTTATTTTTATTTTTTTAAAATTAAAAAGGTTTGAGTAGCTTGTTTTAAAAACAAACAAACAACATTGAGTGCGTCTCTAAGGTTGTTGTCCAATGACATGACTCGTCCATACTGGAGTATAACTCAAATGATTCACATCCACATGTGGCTTAGCTAAGATTAGTGGTTGAAGTTTTGTGCATACTTTTTACTCTTTTTTTTTTTAAAGAGAGGGTGGGAAATGGTCATTCCTACAACAACTAGCTCCACTGTTTGGATGCGTGTTACTTTTTGTTTGTTTTAGGACGCTGTTGGGTTCCCACTTGCCCACTCCCCGTTCCCGTTTAGTTAGGGGTTAGTCTGATTTTTGGGTGTCCTTGTCCCTTCTTTTTGAGAGGAGAAAATAAAATAAAATAAAAATATTCACAATTTAATTGTCATCCAAACTGAAAAACAAGAATGACTATTGAAGACTTACTTGTTTCTCACTATGAAGAATTTAAAATTTTGCTCAATTATTTACAAAAGACTGAATTGATTATTTATTTATTTATAACACACTCTGTTTTATTTTCTTGGACATATATAGAGGATTAGAGAGAGAAAATGAACATCATTAGAATATAAATAGAGAGAGAAGAAAGCTTTGAAGAAGGAAGAAAGCTTTGAGATCATTTGGAGACAAAGATCTTAGGTTCAATCTTTTCTTTCTATATTATTTTTTTGTACATTGAGATTGCTCTAATTAATTACCATGGGCACATAATTCTATCTTTTTTGTAGGGATTGAGTGTAATCTATCAAAGTCTAATGTAATCCTTTTGATTTTTATATATGATGTTCTATTATTTAGTGTTAATGATTTGATCATATTCTTAATGTTTGAGGTAAATTGATCACTCACATTTTGATTTTTGATTTATATTTTTGTTGGAAAACATGTTTTAAATTTGTTTTGAATCAAATCACCTAATGATTCTAAAGGTTAGGAATAAATTTAGAGTCGTTAGCTAATTTTTTTTATACTTAATGCAAGGACTTTGATTTGATAAACTAAGAAATTAGTTTGAAACTTGGATCTTTAGAATCTCTAAAGGTAAGGAATTGATTCAGAATGATATTAAAGAATTCAATAATATTGAGTGATAGAAATCGTATATAGATACTCTTAGAAGGACATAGGAGTAGGATAAGTGAAATTTAATTCCAATAGTTTATCTCACTCTTATTTCTCAAATTTACATTTGCTTTCTATTGTTGTTTTCTTATAAATTTAATATTAAAAATACACAATAAAATGTTTATATTAATTTGTAAATCTTTCTATGACAAGTTTTCATTAGGATATTAGGGATTATAAAATATCTTTCAAGTTCCTGTGGATTGACCCATACTCAAAAAAACTTATATTACAACAAACTTGGTATGCTTATTACAAAATCCCAACATCTTAATATTCTTTTTAATCTCTTACTTTTCTTTTTAATCATATACTTTTATTTTTGTATCCTCCCTGTCTTTTACTGAGACGATCATGTCTAATATATTTGGTTCAAAATTCACTTAATTCAAAGGCTATGTTGACCTAATCCTTGTGCCTTTCAGGCTCGAGACTAGTGGACAAATGTACCATCCCAAATATTTACTAAGAGGGTCACACTTAGCAACAACTATCCCCTTTTTGATATTTTCCAATCGGGTCATACTGACGTGGTCGAGCACATCATCTATGTAGAAGATGCATCGGCCTAACCCCTACATCTTTTAGGCTCAAGACTGGTAAACAAGTGTATCCTCCTAAATATGCTTTTGATAGGGTTATAACGAGTTAGGATAGTCTACAACTAGGGGTGTTCAAATTGCTAAATTGAACTAAACTAGAAGAAAACTAAACAAAACTATAATAAATAGTTCATCAAACTAAATTGAACTAAAATAAATATTGACTAAACTAAACTAAACTATTATCTACTTTAGTGCACTATAGTTCTAGGAGTTTAAACTAAACTATAATATCAACTAAATAAAACTATTATTAACTATAAACTAAATTGAACTACATTAAAAAAAAAAGTTTAAAATCAACATTTTTAAATTGAGTTACCAAATCATTGATATTAATTATGAATTAACACTACTATAATTTTTTTTATTACATGCGATTTTTCCTGCGAATTTTTCATAAAAATTTGCAGGAAACGTTGTTCCTACAAATTTTTTTGCGAAATTTTATCTACAGGTAATAACTT